ACCAAAGTAAAGCCTTTATTTGCCAGGTTCCATTTACCTTGGAAGTCAGAAGTCGGAGCTGGGAGTGACGTCACACCTGAGTTATCAGCGTTTTAGTTGCAAAGTCAGAAAAAAAGTAGCCAATGGCCAATGGCCTTGTCCGAATATAAACAACTTCTCGACAAATATGCGGTCTTTCTGCAACCTGCAAACATGGTAGATGAAGAGGAAACACAAAAGCGCAGAAGGTTACCTATTATTTCCCTCATTACAGGAGCTTCTATTTACTTTACAACCACCACCGCCATCTTTAAATGTCAACTCGGGGGTTGTGTGGATCATCCGATTTCCCGAGTTGGAAATCTGATATCGATGTAGCGATGTTTTAAATTGTAAGCGTTTTAAATCGCGGATATGGTGAGCTAGCTAGCGAAGTGGCGTTATTTTCCGACTTGTTTGCCGGTATTGTCACATCAGCCTATGACACAGCCAGTAAGCGGCAAGGCATGATGACGTAGCAGGAATCGAGTGGTGTCTCGTTTGGTCAAGGGGAAGGGGTAAACAAAGATGATAATAATCTGGTGCAGGCTGCAACTGGACTGCAACAGTGATGTGCTGTTTTGGGACGGTTAAAGAACAGACATGCTCCTGCATTCTTGATCATGTGCAAAGGCTTGAATGTGCATGAAGGGAGGCCTGACAGTAAGGAGTTGCTTACTGTGTCTTCATACATTAAGTCAAACATGTAGTCCGAAGTGGATTAATTGATTGATTAAGTTGTTTATGAATTAGCTTGTGCCTGTGTCTGCACCCACAGGACTTTCCCTGGAAGCTCACAGAGTGTTTTTCACCCTTTTCTAACTCAGAGAGGTTCACGGATGGTTGTCAGGACTGCTGTTGACTTTGCTCTGAATATTTTTAGCAATGTAAAGCCCTCCTCTCAAATATTTGCTCGGCATACATTAGCTGAAAAATGTAACAACCCTCTGTATAGCAGCTCTCAACCATCCCAGTGAGAGAGATGTTAAAGAAGAAGGCCTCTGATTATTGCACCGCTGTGGAAATATTCTGCAATGTAAAAAAAAAAAAACTTAAACAGAGGGGGCATCTTCTTTCACAGGTCTCTGACAGGTTTTTTCCTTTTACAGCCTTTGCAGAGAGTTCACTGCAGCATAACCTGCTTCTTTCTCCAGTGTGACAACAACACCCACAGACACAGCAAAGATTAAAATCTCAAAAGCCCCGGATAAGATGCTGGAGTTTGCTCAGATCAGAGGTTATCGGCGCTAAGGCTTAATCGGGACAAACACTAAAACCTTTAAATTTTGAAACAACAAAACGCCGCAATCTCCTTTGTATTCAGACACGGCCCCGCGCCCTCAGGATCACATCCCTGATCTCCTGCTACAAGCACTTTACCTCCAATCCGCCAGCAATTTCCTCAAATATAACAAATGCAGAATTAGTTTGACCTGCAGCACCGAGAAGGGAGCCCACACAGTGTACATAAAGAGCTTTTCAGCAGGAGGAAGAAAAAAAAACAAAAAGCCTTTAAATGTTTTTTTCATGTTGCCACTCAAAAATGAGACATGTTTCCTCCAATCTAAGCTCTGTCAATCTCGCTGTGCGGAGCTGCTTGTGCACAACAGTCTGATTTGAAAGCATTTCCTCTCCCAACCTGAAACTGTCTCTGAAATGTTTATTTTAAAACAAGAGGATGGATCAAAATCCCGCCTTGACAAGCTAATATGCCCTCGACGGCACAGGCACAAAGAGAGAGGAGTGGTTGTCGAGAGAATTTCTCATGACAGAAGAAAGAGAGATGCAAACTTGTACAGTGAAAAAAAAAAAGATCAAAAGAGGCATGAGTGTAAAACGTCACGTTTCAAAGCAGGAAGAGGAAATCGTGTCTGATTATTGTGGTCAGCTTCGGCACACATGTGGTGCAATCTAGAAACTATAACTCACGGGATAAAGACAAATACATCATGTTTACGATTACGGTGTTTCACGTCACCATGCAATTTCTCCCAGCATGCCATTATGTTTGCTCTCCCTCTCATACGAGCAGATCTATGGTTGTTGGAGAATGATTTTTTTTGCACAATGGGGGATCAGCAGGCATTAAAGATAAATGGGAGAGGCAGCTTGAACAATTTGAAAACCCTTAGCAGGGAGGGAAAAAAAAGGCAATTTGCACTCCTTGTTTTGCTATTACCAATGCATGAGGCATGATACCAAGCACTTTCAGGAAAGTCTTGCAATGTTTCACCGTGGCATTTGGATAATTGGCTGGGGAAATCGTTTGCAGCAATTAACAAATTAAAGGATTTTTAATGCTGTGTTCACTCTCTTGTTTCCCTGGGAGAGCTGACGTCAACCCCAGCCACCTCACTTTTCTGCCCTTAAAGCAGATCTGGGTCCGGGTGATACCGCCGATAACCTTTAGAAGAAGAAGAAGCGGCGCGTCGCTTTTATTAATGCACCTGTGATGTCTCCTCGAGGGATTTTCAGGTCTGCAGAAAAATCTCGTTGACCACAGCGTGTGGTTGCTTCGGTACAGGAGAAGAATGTCAGACTGCCCCGCTGGAATCTAAATGGCAGAAATGTCCCTGACCGTTCTGCAATAACATATCGATCAGGTGTGTGTTAGAGGTGCGCGAGCTCGATATAAAGTCTGCTGAAATGCCCCAGAAAAGAGGCCGCAGCCCAGAATTGAGAGGCAGGCTGTGTATTCAAATGTCAGCCTGACTTCCTCTACAACCTTTCGCGCCATCGAACGTCTCGAAGCAGAAGGAATATAAATGGACTGAGGTCTGGGAGCAGGTTCTCTAATTTCACCGTAGATGGTGGAGCTTCTATTTTTAGACCCCGGCCCCTTGTAGCGAGAAAGTCTTGCCCAACCATGTATGCAAATCATATCACATTAGGCCCTGCATCCCCTCCAAGCCGCATGTGATGCGTTCACTCAATTGCCTCTGAGTGAGGAGTTCATTGAGAGGAGAGTGACCGCCCAGGGAGAGCTCAAACAGGTTTGTCTGATGAGATACTTCACGCCACATTTCAGCCCATTGATGAAGCTTATCAGCATGATAAATAACTTCGGCCTGAGCCTTCAGACCAATCAGGAGCCTTTTCCTACAAGCACGTACATCAGCAGGGTTCAGAGACATTACTGATGCCCTTTTCTGTCAGTGTGCCGCCGCAATAAAACTTAAAGCTTTTCTGATTTCTATGTTCTGCCATGAAAAATCATCTAGGAATAGATGAAGTTGGAGTTTTGGAGAGAAAACTTGCAGATCTGTTTTGTCACTAACCATGCATTGTCCAAAATCAGTACTTGTGTGGAAATGTTTTACAGACTGGAACAGAAATTGTCTAAACTCAGGCTTTACCTTCAAATAAACTTGTGAATAAATGCAGATTCTCACTGCAGCCAAACTCATAATAACAAGCCCTAAAAGTGCACCACGTACTACTTAGTGGCAGTTGGCATGTCAGTTAGTATAATTAAATAAATCACTGGGCGGAGCTAGCAGGGGTGGGTGTGGTCAGTTGTTTTGCTTAAGGTCAACATCAGCATGTGGTTGGGCGTTAACGTGGTGACTGAATATAACTGTAAACATGGACATAATGGCAGATAAGGTTGTACCTTATCAATAGACGAAAAGATAGATTATTCAGTCTTCATCTTCACTGTAAGGTCAGTCTTTTATATGCTACATTGTTGCCACATTCCCACTAAAATTATCACAAAATTACCATGAAAAATTGACTCTGTGTGAATACGGCGATGTAAAAACTGAACCTCATGGGCTTCGCCATTTTTCAAGTCACATCCCAGCTTGTGAAGCCCTCAGGAGAATTTGATCGATTTGAAAAGACTTGGTGGTTGTTGTGCATAAAATACCCACTGAGCAATAGACGTCTATTTTTTTTTAGACCTAATTTCAACCATCTAGATTCTCTATATTTTAGATGGAATTTAGACGTTGCACTTTAACCCATTATTCGATATTTATTTCAAAAAACAACTGTGAGGTGCAGAACTGATCTCCAAGTAGGTGTTGAGCAATACAGAGTATAGTATAGATATAGCTCAGATTTAGATTTAGTCTAAACTTGGTCTAAATTAAGACGTCTAAAAAAACTTTCATTTTTAAACCTGTGGAAGCCTGATTTTAGATCAGTCGTCTAGGATACATTTAGACGTTCATTAGACCTGTTTTAGATCAAAAAATGCTCAGTGGATAAGTGTTTACACACATTTTTATTGCAAAAAGAAAAACAAACAGAGGGTCCTTAAAAGCCACCATCACTTCACTGATGATAGGGGTGAGATCGGGAGCTTTTCAGCCATTACTAAACAGTCTTTTTATACACACTGGATCTTGAGTGTTGCAGTTTAATGTGCAGTATCTAACTTGGTTTGTTTGGTAATTTATGACATTTTTGAATTTAAAGTTTGTGTCAAGTTGAGCTCTACGCCAAACTTATCTCACACTCCACACGTAGTTTGTTTTTTTAATATTCTGCAGGTTTGCAAAGACCTCCTCAAAAAAATTATCAATGAGAGTCAGAGTGTCCTGATTCTGAGGGTGGCGTGCAGAAACAGGCCAAACGCAGGTGTCGACTGTTCACTAATTCTCCGGCTCCCATTCTTTCTCCGGAGCTGAGTCGTGGCGGCTTTGTCAATCACTCACAATCAACTAATTGCTGGGCTGGCGAATTCAAATCACGGCACAGCTGGAGGTTAATGAAAATTGCACCTTTGCTTGACATAACATCCGATCCTGTTAGCTGTGCAGAGCAGAATCCTTAGGCAGTGTCAAGTAGATTTCCCCGGAGAGCTGCCGCCGCATAAAAAAAGGCAATACCTACTTCATCTTAGCTGTCATAACACAGCACCTGCATTTGTGCCACATAAAAGAAGCATGTAATCTCTAATAATGATGACTGGCGTTACGGCAGGAGGAGAGAGAAAAGTAAGGGGAGTTATTGGAGACCTAATTAGGATGAGTTTGTGGTTTGGGTGTGTCCTTATATTCTCATCGATATCACACTAGAATAAAGAAATGAGGTAAAACACAAACAGTTAATACCTCAAAGATATCAACAATATGCTCAGGATTACATCCGACATTTGGGGATTTCTATTTAAAGATGAACACAATTGGAGCCTTTAAAAACCCCTTACCTAATTATCAAACTATGTAAAATATTCAAATAATTAAATTAAATCCAGCGATGACCTTTTTATTCTGATCTTTTTATAAGAAACAGAGAGAAACATGTTCAAGGTGTGATCTTTAAAGATGTCTGAAGGACGGTTTGCAGATGAGTTTTATTAAAAGCATTGCAAAGGTCAGATTTGGAAGAGTTCTACTTTATATTTTGAGAGTTAATCAAGAATCATATTTACTGTGTTTAAAATCCAGTTTAAAGCAAACTTTATCAGTATTTTGTTTCATTTAATTATTCAAATACATAAATACAGTAAGTGGTCGGGCTGGGACGATTCTCTTGATTCGATTCTTCTACGATTTTTTGGATTCCGATTCAATTTAAATTGCGATTCTACGATATTCTGTATTTTCTCGATCTTTAGTCTGCATTTTATACACCAGTAGTACAGCTGAATGATTATGATTGTCTTCTGACTATTCCAGGAACCATGTTTCCCCAAAAAATACACATCACATGTAAGTCAGTTTTAAAGATTTAAGGTCCTTACACACCGGGAATGACGCAAATATACGACACAAAATTACAAAATATTCGGAGGCAATGATGATGATGTGAACGCTTGTATTGACAGTATACAGGTTCGAAAAAAAATGTATGTCCGAAATAATCACACGAAAAAAAACACTCCTGGTGTGAAAAGACCTTTATTCTTAAATTTGAAAAGAAAAAAAAAAAAGAAAATTTTGATATAAAAATCGATTTAAAAATTGTAAAACAAAATATCACGATACTTATGTAAATTGATTTTTTCTCCCACCCCTACTGGACAAACAGTTTATTTTATTTATCCAGTATCATAGATGTGACTTAATATGAACAATTAATTAGAAAAAACTCAATACTTAGTAAATGAGACAATAGGATATATCACAACACAAAATATCGCGATACTACGCTGTATTGATTTTTTCTCCCACCCCTAGTAAGTAGTTATTTATGGTCTCTATCACCATGGTTTCTATCAAAATGTTAGTTTTTTTTACGCAGACATTCTTGCAGGTAAACTCGATAAATTCTTTTTCTATGTGGCCTCAGACTTAACCTGAAAAATACCAAGAAGATGAATTTGTTACACTGTTAAAAATACTGCTGGAGTCGTATTCATTAAATTCTTCACAATCATAGAATTCAAGGATACGGTGGAGGAATTCGAGATCCTCTTCACCTGCCAAAAGTGCAGAAAACATGATATAATTTTGTCGTTTTGATGGTTGTTTATTCGTCTGGTAGTCAGGTTGGACTGAGACGTATTCAGCTTTACTTTTTATTGAGATTGAACCTTGTTGATATTAAAGCAGTTCTAGTAATCTTTTATTTTGCACCTTAGTTGTCTGTTTAGGTCTGTTTCTTCACTCTGAGGTCAGATAGTTTAGTTATTCAGGAGATATTTGTGTTATTCTGGCATTTACCCTCCCTGAACTTTTCTGTTATTTAAGCCTGAGTGAAAACAAATTAAAACACTGTGAACTGCAGACCGGTTTGTGTGGTCCACTAAGGTCACTTTTATGCTGCGCTCCGCTCTCACGCTTTTTGTACGGTAAACTTACAAACACCTTTAAAAACATATTTAATCTCCTGAGGTGAAATGATTTTTTGCGCAGAGCTCGGCTTTGATTTCGAGTCATTTTATTCTGTATAAAACAGAAATCTAGAAAAAGTGTTTTTGTGTGGATGTGATAATCAGTCTTATTACTAATAGATGTTGCTTGTTTTTGCAGAATCCCTTTCCTCACTCTGCAACACAACAAGACATCAATCATTGTGCCATTGTGTGTATATCCATAAGTGTGGCTGGATGACATGACACAGTATAAACTCATTATTCTGCATGTGTCTGTCGTTTTGTGCACCATCAGAACAAGATTAAAAAAAATGAAGTTAGGGATTCGGGATGTGGCTCATTTTCACCGTGCGAGTGTATGCTGCCTGTAAAAATGTCAGAAATTCATCGGAGCGGTCTGGAGCAGCTGATTGGCCGATGATTGGCCCTTTCGCCCCCCTGTAAATCTCACTGTAAATGACATGCAATGGAACTGAAATACAGTTCGACTTGAAAATCAGACACCCCGCTCTGAAATGAGATCTGAAACAGCCGAGTGTGCCCGGTCTAACAAAGGCTGTGACATTTTAAATTACTATCCCTGTATCCTTCTATTAAAACAATATCTAACAAAGCTAAACCTATGTTGTGTGGTAGTGTAGTGGTGGATTTGGCTCCCTGGCCTGGAGAAGCCTTTCTACGTGGAGCTTGCATGTTCTTCTCCTTCTGCACACATGGGCTCTCTCTCTCTCTCTCTCTGCATTTAGCTCCCTCTCACACTGCTTATGAAGCTGACTGGTGTCTCTAAATTGCCCGCAGATGAGAGTGAGTGTGTATGGTTGTCTGTCCCATGTGTGTCAGGTCTGTGATTGACTCGAGACCTGCAGGGTGCACCCTATCTCTCGCCCAATGACAGCTCGGATCGACACCAGCCCTCCTCGGTGTCAGGGCAGGATAAGCTGGATAGATGAATTCATGGAGGCTGTGATATCACGTGGAAACGACATATTTCTGCAAGTGATGATAAGAAGAATCATGTTGAATTGGTCTGACCAGGTTCAATAGTTTTAATATTTTCAGATTTTCTACCAGGTCTGTGTACAAAACCAGCTTCTTGTTGACTCACAAATAAAACATCCCAAAAATAAAAGTCTAATTACAACCTGCAGCCTGAAGAAAAGAGAGGAGCTGTGGACACATTTCTTAAAGACAAGAGGGAGAGTTTCATCTCTGATGAAAACAAAGAGCCTTGAGGTTAAAAGACAGGAGGAAGAAAAGAGACGATTAAGGAGGACATCAAATGAAGCATGTTACAGAGTCAGCTGATCAGAGAGACGTCTGGCTGCAGACCTCCACGGAGAGGAACCAAGGTGAGGATTTTTCTCACACGCTCGTTTGAAATGGTCATGAATTTGTTGAACAGAAACACAAAAAAATCATATTAACATTATAAACAGAAAATAAAGACCCAAGAAATAAAATATAGTCATACGAGACAAAAAAAATAAATACTTTGCAGTCTAATTGCTTTTAATTTGAAAGGATTAAAACCAACTTCCGACCTAAAAAAGAAATACTCCCAATTTATCTGCTTTTATTTTGAAAGGCTTCAAATCAACTTTGGAAAAATGAAGTACTTCCGGTGTATTTGCTTTTATATTGACAGAGTTCAAGAAAAAAAAAATAATGATAAATTTATACTTTATATTTTGAAAGGTTTCGAATCAACTTTGAACATGAAAAAAGAGAGCTTTCAGTAAATTTGCTAAAAGTACTTTCAGTACATTCGATTTTATTTTGAAAGGGTTCAAATCAACTTCCGACATATAAAAAAAGTACTCCCAGTATATTTGCTTTTTTTTTGAAAGGCTTCAAATTAACTTCAGAGGTCTGCAGCCAGACTGTCTTGGCTGATCGGCTGACACGATTACACAAAAACTCTAAATATAATGCAGAGAATTCTTTGACAAGGTAGCAAAACTCAACATAACACCTGTTGAAGATTAGCGTAGCTGTGCTATTACAGCTAAAACCTGATTTATGATTTCTTCAGACACGTTCAGACCGAAACCTGCAGTAATTTGTGATTTTCAGATGTGACTTAAGGCACTGCATGAAAAGTATCCAAGTTTCCAAAAATTGAAACATCTGTGTTTAAAAACTGTTAAAGCGTTTTGACTGGAGTAAAAATGTCCTCTCTATGATTATTGTTATTCCCTGTCTCCATGTGTATCCTTGTTTTTGCTCTAAAACAACATGATGTCCCCTGCAGCAGACAAACTCAAAAGTCCCCCAAAATTTAAGAAATCAGAGATAAAATGATGACCAGATTTTTCTGAATATTGTGGTTAAATAACTCCTTCATGAAAGGGTTAATTGGTTTGTTTACGCCCCGGCTTTTGAACAGTAATAGCTATAAAATGTCAGTCAGTTTGAAGAGAATCGCCGCCGCTCCCTGCGTCAGTTGACATGCTCATAAATTGCACTGTAATTGTGCAGGTCTCCAGCTAACGAGGTAAGAGGAGGAGTGTACAGCGGAGGGTGTCCACGCAATAACAGCGGTGGCCGTTTCGGAGTCATTAAGTGCGTCTGTAATCGTGCCATTACGCCGCTCATTACGGACAGACTGTGGCATAATCTCCCACAGGGCCGCAGTCACCACTCAATTCCATTAGACGCTGTTTCCTGCCTGGGAATCATCCCCGCTCACTCCTCCTAATGACGAACCCCTCGCCGATTCAAAAGCCGGGCCCCTCTGACGCTGGTGTTCAGACTGGAATCGGGCCAACGCCGCCCTCCGAGACCGTCTTTCTTCCAAGCTTACACTGGTCTACAAGTAGATTATGGCTGGAACACAAATGAACACATGCACTGGCTTGAGAAGAGGACTTTAGCTGGTGACAGCAGCCAGGCGAGATCCCCTGTCCGCTTGGCTTTGAGGAGGATCTGTCTGAGACGGGCTCATTTGAGGTGAAAGCAGCCAATAACTGCAGATGAATGCAGAATAAACCCACAATCCAAACAGAGACTCATTACTGTGAAATTATTTTTATGACAGCTTCATCCAGACTTAGAGCAGGCAGCAAATCCTCTCCAAAAAAAAATTGATATTCACTTCCAGTCCGGTCAACAGTCAGAGCTGGATATATTCGCCGCACGTTCGCCAGCAACAAAAAAGAGCAACAGCAAAGTGTCAGACAAAGTCTACCCTAAAGAAATATGATATTCAGGAGAGATTTCTGTTGACTTTGTGCGAGTAAAGTTTCTCAAAAGAAGAAAAACAGCAATTCAAACTAAACCCTGCAGCTCCTGGTGAGGGCAAAAGTTGGATTATAAACCTTGATGCATCAGTCTGTTGACACATTCTTTAAAAATATTGATTATGACATAAAAGAGGTCACTTTTAAGGAGTTATCAGCCTAATCTGCAGCTTTAGAGTAAGTTTTTAACTTTGTACCGTCCACTTTGATAAGTGTGAGTCAGCAGGCGATTGTTTCTGTGACCAAAACTCACAAAAACTTGTATTAAGTCATAATAAAGGTCCCTAAAATAAAGCGCCAAATGAAAGTGAAAAGAGGACATGTTTGGCATTTAAATGTCTCCAAATAATTTGTAAATTCCAACCAAATCTGGACGTGAGAATTAAAAAGTTTCTGCGTTGTTTTGTTGTAATAAACGGTGACATTTATCGCCAAAAAAACAATGACATGAACTTTTTTCTGACTCAACAAAGGAGCCAAAAATAATAAGTGGTGGGATTTGAGAAAAAAGCCTGGCATTTAAGGCCTCACACTTGTCTAAATAAGCTTGTAAATACCACTGTAATTTTGTGGTTTATGCAGCCAAAATGAAGCCAATATGGGAGTTCAAAATAACGCGTGTCCACTGGAGGAAAAAATGACAATTTGTTTTCAGGAAAATGAGCATGTCTGCAGTCGCTCAGAAACACTGGTGACGCAGTAATACTAAGCCAGTTCAGTCTGCAGAGGTTCGACTGAATAACAGGTGGACTGCTTTCTTTCATGTTGACATCCTGAATCAATCAAGCCACCTTGAAAGTCGCAGTGACACCCTACTATCGAGTTTGCCTTCTGCTCGACAATCGGCTCTTGCAGCACTTCTAAAACGGCAAACTGCAAATATTCCATTTCCTCATGTGGAGAAAAAAAAGCCTGAAGCGTTATCCTGGTGAGCTCCAGCAGCACGACATGTTTGCTGCCAGATAATGATAAGAGGGTTGTTAATTTTTACCAGCTCAGCCATATTAGACAGGCGAGGACCGGTGCTTAAAAAGACGCCTAATTCTTCAGTGCAAATGTGGAGTAAACTGCATGGAAAAAATGCTAAAATGAGCTCATAATATGAGGAGGGGGCTACTTATTCATTAGCTGATGACTCTGTATGTTTGAGGAAAGCCCTGATGTTAACCAAGACGCACAGATAAACTGGAAAATTGAACTTCTGCCAGAGCGAGGCGAGCAGTCCCTCAGTCTTTATACATTGAGCTGTGGCCAAAAATAAAATCCTATAAAATAAAAATTCTCAGAAAACTTGATTTTCAACTTTATATTCAGTGATAACTTCACCAAACTTCTCTTTAATAAAAAGTTTTTCTATCATCTCTCAAAACCAAACCACTGAAAACAATGTAGTGCATTTGCCAAGCCAGTAAGTGGCGCTGTAACGCTGCACAGGAAATGTACAAAAGACAGAAGAAGAGTACAGATCATGCGTAAAAAGCATAGAAGCATAGAATGGACAGAGTCTGCCTCCTCGCTGGGTGAAGCCACTCTGAGAACAGCACCCTCTGTTGGCAGGTTGCAGTATAGGTTATAAATCCCGCCTCCTCCAGCAATCCCTATGGAGCTGTGGACAAACTTTAGAAATTTATTGCACAGAATATAAATGTTTCTTCCCCCTGGTTGCGATGTTGACATGTAGTTACTGTAAGACTGGTTTGTGCTCAAGTCCTCTTTTTTCTGTGCAGCTCCATTTTTAAAAGTTATTAGGGGGTTCAAGTTTTCTATGATTGACACCTGATACAGCCTATGGGCGTACGAAGATTGCATGGCTCAACCGGGGGATACGCCGTTTGAGCCGGACGTCATCACAGCGAATCTCGGCGACTCTCCCGCCGAATGCCTACAATGCTACTGCGCAATGTTGGTTTCAGGAAATGAAGGAAAAACGCAGAAATACCGAGAGCTTTTTGGCTTCAAATCCATATACAGGCGGAAGGCGGAACCAAGTTGTGCATAGTTTATACAGTCCATGGTCTGGACACATACAGGCGCCATAAAAGAGTCCAGTGTGTGTCACGTGACCATTTCCAGAGATGCAGATAGACATCCACACGGAGATGAAATGGTAGTTGTTTATGGATTCATGCGCTCTCTGACCCGTTTACAAAAAGTAATGTTTACAGTCACCTGAAACACCGTTTCCATGTGGATGAAATACCGATATGCCAAAAAACTTAAGCATTTACTCCTGAATTCATTTCCATGTGGACGGGTTGATCCCGCCTTCAGACAGACTTTGCAGCGGGGAGTAGTTTGGTCTTCATCTAAAACTGTGAAGTCGTACCAATACAACACGACTGACTTGCTCTTGTCCTATTTAACCACGAAATTATCGCCTTCTTTTGCAAACGCCATGTTTGTTTACACTGTGTGGGAACTGAGGAGTGCTCCCGCAGGACGGGGAAGCCTTCTAGGGCGTGGCCTGGAGGCGCAAGACATGAGAGAGGAAAATCGATTTGACGATTTTAATTTTTTTTAACATCCTTAGAATCAAATAATCTGATCTATTTATCGTGCAGCCCTGATTGAGTGGTAGTAAAGTTTTCATTGAAGATAGATATGTGCATATATGCAATACGTGTAAATGCATGAATACTTTAGAAGTGATAAACTACAATTTGTTAAAAATCCACATCAAAAGTTCCACTTTCTCAGAGTATGAAGGACAGACCTGAGCAGAAGGAAATACTTTCACCAGCTTACGGTCACCTGCAAGCACCTGGCAAATTAACATTCCTCTTTTATATTGAATTTACTCCCAGAATCCATGAGAGATTAGCATCTGATTGACTAATGCAGCAGCTAATTATGCAATCAGTGAGTGCAGGCTGCC